AAAAAAAAAAAAAAAAAAGAATGTGAGATCCAATATACTCTTTGCCTCATTTCCTCCAAAGGTAACATCCTACAAAATTATAGTACAATATCACAAGCAGGATACTGACACTGATAAAGGTAAGACACAGAATAGTCCCATCACCACAAGGATTCCTTGTGTTGCCCTTTTATAGCCACAGTCCCCCTCCACTACCAGTCACTTTTAAAGACAGAAATATCAGGGCTGGCCCCGTGGCTTGGTGGTTAAGTGCGCGCGCTCTGATGCTGGTGGCCCGGGTTCGGATCCCGGGCGCGCACCGAGGCACCACTTCTCCGTCCATCCTGAGGCCGAGTCCCACATGCAGCAACTGGAAGGATGTGCAGCTGTGACATGCAACTATCTGCTGGGGCTTTGGGGGGAAAAAATAAATAAATAAAATCTTTAAAGACAGAAATATCAGAAGCGCTTGGGTAGCTTCTTAACCTTCTTACCCTCACTTGGGGGACATATCAGGATTAGGGGTTGTGGGGAGCTCCCCAGATAACTCTGATATATGCCCAATTGAGAATCACTGCTCACACTTTCTCACTATCCAATATCAGCTACTCCTGTAATTCTATTTTTCCTGGGGTATGATTTCTAAACCTGGGTCTGAAGTCCTAATGTTCTCCAGAGCAGCCGGCAAGTAGCTAGTCCACTAGCTACTGCTACCAGAAAATCCTATGGTTCCCAAAACCAACCACATCCAGCTTCCCTGGCCTGAATCTGGTCCTCTTCCTCCTCTTCCTAACCTTGAGTTCATTCATTCACGGCCTGAATGTGTATTAATTCCTATAGGGGCCAGGACGGTGACCTGATACCATGCTCATCTATCCAGCTGGCCCAGGTATCCCGCAATGCCTCCGCCCTGCCCAGGCTCCCAGCCCTCAGCAGGGCTCTCAGAACTCCTAAGTGTCATGCACGTTTGTCTCCTGCTGCCCTCAGTGAGCACCTGTGAAGTGCCCATTCCCCACCACCAAGTCCTGACCACTCCCACCCACAGATGGGGAGGCTGCACAGGAGGAAAAGCCCTCTGGGAAAATCAGGGGCCCCTTACCTCACAGTACACAATGTCCGCTCCATAGTCCAGGGCCAGCAGCCGCATTGGGAGAGTCCCTACCCGAACCATAGGGGCTAAGATGAGTTTGTTGTGGTAGCACAGTGAGAGGCTGTTCACCATCATTCCTCCTCTGCTATAGCCTAAGGAAAAGGAAAACAAGAGACAGAAATTCAAATGAAGAAAATCTCTGTCATCCAGGGCAGCTTTCCTTCTTCCTTCCAACACAAAGTACTTTGTTTTCCTTTTCTCTGATTATGAAAATAACGCATGCTCATTCACTCATCCAACAAATATTTATTAAGTGCCAGTCACTGTCCTAGTCTCTTGGGACATATTAGAGAACAAAACAGACAAACATTCCTGCTCTGGCAGAAATTTCATTCTAGTGGGGGAACACAGGCAAAAAACAATAAGTATAACAAATAAATTAAATTATATAGTATGACAGAAAATTGGAAGTGCTATAGAGTAAAAAAGAACAGGGAGTAAGGAGATTAAAAACACCAGGGATGAATTAAAATTCTTTTCCAGTTTTATTGAGATACAATTGGCATATAACATTGGATTAGTTTAACGTGTACAACATAATGATGTGATATACGTATATATTGTAAAATGATTACCACAATAAGTTTAGTTAACATCTATCACCTCACATAATTATATTTTTTTCTTATGATGAGAACTTTTAACATCTACTCTCTTAGCAACTTTCAAATATACAATATGGTATCGTTAACTATAGTCATCATGCTGTACATTACATCCCCAGAACGTACTTATCTTATACCTAGAATTTTGTACCTTTTGACCACCTTCACCATTTCCCCCACCCCTACAGATTAAAATTTTAAATAGAGAAGCCAAGATAGGCTTCAATGAGAAGATAACATTTGAGCAAAGATTTGAGTTAGCCAAGTTGGTATCTAGTAGAAAAGTATATGGCAGAGAAAACAGCCAGTGCAAAGGCCCTCGGGCAGGAGCTTGCCTGGCACGTTAGAGGAAGAGCAAGGAGGCCAATGTGGTTGGAGCACAGAAAGAAGAGAGAGTAACCTAAGTCCAATACATGATGTGACAGAAGTAAGCAGACAGGACACAGTGGTCAGATCCTGCATGGCCTTGTAGGACACTCTACAGACTTTGTTAGCTCTTTATAAAATAGGAGCCAGTAAAGGGTTTTAAGTAGAGAAGTGACATGACTGATCACATTTTCCCATGATCACGGAGACTGCTGTATGAAGAGCAGGGTAGACGCCGGGAGACCAGTTAGAAGGTTCTTCAGTAACCAACGTGAGAGACGATGGTGGCTCAGGCCAGGGAGCTAGCAGTGGAACTGGTGAGAAGTGGTCATATTCTAAAAATATTTTGAAGGTAGAGTCAAAGGGAACAAAAAGAAGAAAATCAAAATCTTGTCCCAGAGATAAGTATTAATATTAATTCATTTATTCTAAGCAAATATGGTCACCTCTAAAAAGTCATGAAGCCAGCCAAGTATGCTGTGCTCAGAGTTACTAATACTGTCTCCACTTTCTTTTTACTCCTCAGCCCGCTCTGGCCTGGCCTCCACCTCTGCCTTCACCACTCTACCAAAACTGCTCTGATTAAACTCACCAATTACCTCAAAGTTGCTCAATCTACTAGACACTGACCTGTCCTCAATCTGGTTTTGCTAACAGCACGTGACGTGGTTGAGCCTCGCCTTTTCCTTCATCTCTCATCCCTGGGCTTCCCCAACCCCACACTCGCCTGGTTTTTCTCCCACCTCTCTGACCCTGCTTTTCAGTCTCCTTTGCTGGTTTCACCTCCTCCACTCACATGTTGAAGTTCCTCCTTAGTCTTGGGCCCTCTTCCCTTCTAATTCCACACATTCTCCCTTGCAAATTCATTCACTCCCATGGCTTAAAATATTAGCGATATGCTGTTGATATCCAAAGGTATCTCAACCTCGCACCAACTGCTCAATACGCATCCCCACTTGGATGTCTTAAGGGCATCTTATACTAAGTATGTACAAAACAAAGTCTTGATCTTCCCTCCTCAGCCTCCTCCTCTGTCTTCATTTATTCATTCAACAGACTTTTATTGAGCCCTATGATATGCCAAGCACTGGCTGTCACTAGAGATAAAATGAGTGGGGGAAAAAGGTACAATAGAAGAGAGGGTTACATAAGGGAACTTATAAATATATGTGAAATTACATATGTGTATACAGTGCTATGAGGAGCTGTTATATGAGGCTATGGGAGCCCAGGTCAGCAGGGAAAGGACTGAGAGGGTTGAGGAGGGCTTCCCTTAAGAAATGATCTCTGATTCAAGGTCTAACGGGAGAGAAGGTGTTAACCAGGCCAATACGTGGGGAGAACATTTTTCCCATTTCAGTAAGGACCACCTCCATTCACCCAATTACTCATCCTCAACCCACATTCCCCATATCCAATCCATCACTAACTCCTGTCGAAATAACCTTCAAAATATAACTCTAATGCATCTGCTTTGCTCCATCTCCATTGCCACCACTGTGTACCAAGCCAGCCTCCTTATGGGTCTCCCCAAATCTACTCTTGCTCCCCTCCTATCCATTCTCTTCACAATAGCCAGCATGGCATCTTAAAAAGGCAACTCTGATAATATCACTTCCCTCCTTCAATGGCTTCCCAGTGAGTTTAAGATAAATCCCAAACTCTTCTAACAGACCATAAAGCCCTGTATGTCCTGTTCCAGCCTCACCTTGAGCCTTTCTCCCCGACACTGCCTCTGCTCTGGCCTCCCTGGCCTTCTTTCAAAATCTCCCACACCGAGCTCTCTGCTGCCCTGGGGCCTGCACACTGCAGTTCTGTCTGCCTGGAACCCTCTGTCTGACTCTCTCACATACACCTACACTAAGGTCTTCTTGACCTTGAATGCCCCCCTTTCAGAGACACTTCCCTACCAGACAATCTACTTCAGGTCCCCGGTCACATGCTCTCACAACACCTTGTGCTTCCCCATAGCTCAGTTACAATCCATGTGTCCACACTTATTCGTGTGGTCTCTGGTTTAACCCCCAGCTCCTCCTCTAGAGCACCGGGACAACAGGCTCCACAAGGACAGAAGCGTGGCTGCTTAGTTCACTGACAGGTTTCCAGCGCTGAGCCTAGTACCCAGCCCTTAAGCTCCATAAGGTATGACTGGACACTCACCTCTGTGGTGGCCAAAAGGACATCCTCTTGTAGGGTGGTTGGTCTGGGAAGTCCTTCTGGCACACTGCTAGCATTGCCTAACAGGCCCTGCCTCCAAGACAGCTCCTTTCAGAGAAGCTAGGCAGCCCCCAGCCTTTCCCAGTTACTGTCACAACCTTTCACCCACGCTGAGGTCACACCCAGATCACGACTTTAGTCGCACACTCTCAGGCAATCTCTTGTACCATTCCTTTAAGGGCTGGTCACCTCTATGACAGTTTGATTACTCCCAATTCCCTTTTCAGACAGTAACCTTAACTTTGGTTGCATGGACACAATATCCTGTTAATTATAATGCTTTCAGATTAAACATAACATTATTCAGGGAAAGCAATGAATGGAAAAACATTACCAATCTCTTCCATGTCAATTTTCCCAAAGACTATGACCTTGCTTACAAAGTGATTTCTTTAAAATACAAATTCAGAGTTAAAATGAAAGTCAATTAGGATTACACATTTAGAGAATTATCCTATTTCCCACTCAAAATGTGTGTGAGAAAATCTAGGGGCCGCACCCGTGGCTTAGCGGTTAAGTGCGCGCGCTCCACTACTGGTGGCCCAGGTTCGGTTCCCGGGCGCACACCGACGCACTGCTTCTCCGGCCATGCTGAGGCCGTGTCCCACATACAGCAACTAGAAGGATGTGCAACTATGACATACAACTATCTACTGGGGCTTTGGGGGGGAAAAAAAAGGAGGAGCATTGGCAATAGATGTTAGCTCAGAGCCGGTCTTCCTTAGCAAAAAGAGGATTAGCATGGATGTTAGCTCAGGGCTGATCTTCCTCACAAAAAAAAAAAAAAACTAAAATGATCCATTATGTTTGTAAGAGAAAGAGGCAATACAACATATCATTGTTAAGATTCTGAACCCTAGGATCAGACAAACCTGCATTGGAATTCCAACTCTGCCCCTGGGCAGATTGATTAACCCAGACTAGTCGAGGCTCAGCTTCTCCCTCTGGAATGTGAGGGTCCCATACAATCTATCTCAGGTGGGATACTGAGAGGAGTAAATGCCATGATGCACAACAGTTCTCGGCATGCTGGAAGGGCTTAATGTTAACTGCTCTCATTATCAGGCTTTTACACTTTCAACACACTCTAAGTCTATTGTTATAGCAACAAACATCTACTAACTCTTTTAGGATCAAGGCAGTGTGTAAGGCGCTGAAGGTAAAGAAATGGAAAGAACTAAGCTATTGACTTTAAGGAGCTTCTCAGCTCTGCCACTGACATCATCTATCAACTGAACCAAAGGCCCAGCCTCCAAACCAGTCTCTCTGCTTCCAGGCCTATCATGTTGAAGGGGAGGAAGAGTATCCTCTACCCACTCTGGGTCCTTTCGGGCTGGGCTACAAATTAAATTCAATAAGAGACTGAATAGCAGGAGAAAATCAAACAAAGCTTTATAACATGTATACATGGGAGAGACCCAGGGAAACTGAGTAAATGTTTGGTAAACAGAACTTTGATAAGAATGGGCTTAGCAAGGACCCTCCCAGTCTATCAACATCCAGAGTTATCTATGGTGATGGCCTGTCCTGGGGACAGGCCTTTTACCTTAAATTCTTTTAGGCAGTTAGTAGGGGGGAAGGTCAAAGTTTCTTTCCGAGTCTTCTGAGCCTTTACTGTCTTCAGCTCGAAATGATCCACGTACCAGAGTGGCACATCTTGGAGAGGCCTGCCCTGAACCCCATCCATTTCCAATCTATGCTCCTTCCAGCAGCCAGAGAGGTCTTTCTAAAGAGAAATCAGGATATGATATTCTCATTCTTTAAGGCCTTCCCCATTGCCCTTAGAATTAAGTCCAAACTCTTTAACTCTTTAACTACCCCACACCAAGCCTCAACTGCTCTGAAGTATTGCTAGTTCCCCAAACTGGCCCACTCTCTATCAGTCTGGAGTCTCTGAACAGTTGCCCCTGCCTAGGAGCCACATCCCTATTCCTCCACCTGGCTGATTTCCACTAGCCTTTCAGAACCTCAGTACAGATGTCACCCCCTCCAGGAAGCCTTCCCTGACCCACCTCCCCCAAACACAACGTGAGGGCTCCTCCTCTGAGATCATTCCTGTCCTGGCATGGAGCATACTCTTATAATTACAAGAACAACTGTCAATCTGCCTCCCTCAACATAAAGTGAAGGCAGGCACTGTGCCTTGCTTATCACCAGATCCTCACCAATCTGGCATAAGGTAGATGCTTAATATTTGTTGTAAAAAGAAGGCCAAGTGGCAATGAAAGCTATGATACAGCTCATGCTTCAGCCAGAGAAGAGCTCTATCACAGACAAACTGCATTTAAAGTGCCTTGCCATACCTCAAGTTTGGTTATAGAGCAAATGACTACCCCACTCCCTGGCTTACCCAGTAAAGGACTACAAGCCTTTTATGCAACTTGCATGGGAGCACCACTTGAGTGAACAAGTCTCAGGTAAGGAAGCAGCAGGAGGTAAAGTTGGGGCCAGATTCTGGACTGTGATTAGGAGATAATCTGTAGGCAATGGGATCCATTGACGGCTTTTGAGTCAAAGGGTGACACAGCCATGGCTGTGCTTTAGTAAGATCACTCGGGCAACAGATGATGGACTGGAAAGTGAAAGACAGGAAGGACGTAGGGAGGTCTGTTAGACAGAGGGTGGAAGGGTCCAGGCATATAGTGAAAAGGGCTGAAAAGAGAATGGCCAGCACTCGCACAGCAGTCTTGATGCAGGTAGGAAAATGGAGGAATAGTGAAGGAATACTAATAGCCACTTGTTATTTTTGCAATGCATTGCAAATCCCAATGTGATTCTCAAACCTAGCTGTACATTAGAATCATCTGGAGAGGTTTTAAAAAATACCAATGTCCAGGCCTTACCCCAAACCAATTAAATCAGAATGTAAACTCCACGAGGGCAGGAATTTTGTCTGTTTTGCTCACTGTCTGTTTGAATAGTGCCTGGCACATACATGGTGCTCAGAAAATATTTATTGAATGAATCAATGAATGAATGACCACACCATTATCACCTGAGATCCAAGGAACACTTCTTTTTAAAACTTAGATAGTAACCAGGCAACATAAGTTACCATGACAGCCCTGAGAAAAAAGACTATTAAGTTAGGCTTACATTCTTTTCCATAATAAGTAAACTTTTCTTATTTCTAAAGCACAATACTATAAAATGTGTATCTTGATAACAGCTACAGGTTGCTTAATGTCTGCTGTGAGCAGGAGGAAAAGAGAGGGGGCTTAAGCAGTATCTGATGAACTGACAAGAAGAACTTAGGGGCCATGGGTAGAAACAGGCTCCAATCCCTATGACATTTTGAGGTAACCATATCATAAGGGCTTGAGCATGAGAAAGCAGCCACTAACCAGCTACCCTGCCCCAAATATTTGGACAAAACCCAAATGCAGATACACACCTATGTATTGTTCTTGTCTGATAATTCCTTCAATGTATTCGTTCTGGCTTGGTGCAAAGAAATTCTTTGTTTTAGATCTGAAAAAATAGTGGCACATGTAAATGGATGAAACCTGTCGAATCAGACTTCCAAGGAGCTATTTAGCTAAGGAACAAGAAGTGCGGAGTGCTTAGAAAGAATCATAAAAGTAGTACAGAATCACAGAGTCTTTGAGCATCTTTTATATCAATTCCCCTCTATCATACCACCAATCAGTGGACATCCACCCTGCATATGAACTTTTCAATGACAGAAAACTCAGCGCTCTCAAGAGAGATCTGGGCAATTCTAGCTGCTACAGCAGTTCTTTATATCAAATTCAGAATCTGACTCCCTGTCACCCATCTGTCCCAATTCTGCCTTCTGGAAGTGTACACCCCACAGCATATCTCCTCTCTTTTCCATCTGGCACATTCCCCAAATACATAAGGATAGTTTGTTTGTTTTTTGTTTTTTGGTGAGGAAGATTGGCCTTGAGCTAACATCTGTGCCAGTCTTCCTCTACTTTGTATATGGGATGCCGCCACAGCATGGCTTGTGAGCAGTGTGTAGGTCCATGTTCGGGATCCAAATTCACGAACCCTGGGCCACAGAAGCGGAATGTGCAAACTTAACCACTACGCCACTGGGCCGGGCCTAAAGGACAGTTTTGTTCTCCCTAACGTTCTCTTCTCCAGCATCACCCTTATGAAACACTCCTCCCTGTGTTTATGACTTTCAGAAAACTTGAAGGTTCCTGATCACAAGGGCATGGCAAGCAATGGCATCAGTGTGCCTGCCACAGATTCTGGGAACGGGGCAGGGCCAGTGCAAGAGTGTGGCAAATATGCCCACCTGAAGTGAGAGTCCATGTGGTAACCTCAGCCTCTCTTCAACCCTCATCCACTAACCAGGGTTTCTCAACAGCACACTACTGACATTTTGGGCCAGATAATTCTTTTTTGTGGAGGGCTGTCCTGTGCATTGTATGTGTTTAGCAGCATCCCTGGCCTCTACCCACTAGATACTAATAGCACCTCCCCAGATGTGACAACTAAATATGTCTCCAGCCATTGTCAAATGTCCAGTGAGGAATAGTGGGGACAAAATCACCCTCACTTGAGAACAACTGCTCTATCCGATGACTCTGTTCACCTATCACTACTCAAAACTCTCTCCTCTGCTGATTTAACAGGGAACTGTCCAGAAAGTCTATTCGTGTATCAAAATGGTATCTTAAATTTTTAAAGTATTTATCTTTTTAATGATATTTGATGAAACTAAAACACTTTCTCCAGATGTTAAGAACCTCCCAGGTGGTTAATCCACATTTAACTTACCGCACACTTGAGGCACTGGGGACTGCAGAAAAGACCTGATACCCATTTTCTACATGTGTTCAAGAAGTACGACTAGTGTAGAGTGTTTTTTTTTACAAACTGAACATCTGAATTCAAGTACAATATTCTGCCCAACCAGGGCTACAAGAGACACAACACATACCTGATTGCTCGGTAGGGCAAAGGGACCCACCTCACTACTCACCAAGCAATTCCCAAGTATCTGACTGGGAAGCCAGCGAAAGTGAGCGGGCTGCAAGAGTGGTGGGTTCAGGATGAGAAGTTGGGAGAGGTGACAAGGGAATGGAGAGTGAATGTTGGCTGAAAAAGAAAGAAAAAAGTTTGAAGAAGAGATGACTCCGCTTGAAATAAAGCCTGAAGATCTTACTAATTCAGAGAGAAGGCCACGAGCTTGCCCTCTGCGCTCTCAGCTCTCTGGGAGGGGGGCCTTTGAGTCTGGAGCTCAGACATCTAGCTCCTGTCTCGGCCCCCAGGCCTGACCATTCATTCAGACTCTCAATGAACACTTATTACCAGACCTTTCGCGGGGACCACAACTGGGAAAACATCACCGCACCCTCATAGTTTACAAGGGGAGACCGGCCATCACATGAGCGGTGAGGGCGACAAGGAAGAATCCCAGGGATCCGACACCCAATCGCCAAAAGCCATCCACCATAAAGCCAGGGCACCATCGCCGCGTAACGCTGGACCCCGGTCCCGCCTCCACTGCGCGCCCTGCCACAAGCCTGGCCGGGTCTGGACATCGCCATCCCCTATTCGCAAGTACAGACCTCGCCGCTGTTGACCGCTACAGATTCTCCCTCCTTCCTCATGGTTCGCCAATTCCGTAAGCCTTACTGAACCCCGCCAGCCACCGTCCGCGAGGCCTTGGCGCGCCCGTGACGTCACTGCCGTGCGCCTCTCCTGCGCCAAAGGGATTGTGGCTTGAGGACGGCCATTGCGGTTGCTGTCGCTCGCTTGGTTGCTTCTCGCGCCTCGACGAGACCTCGCGGTCCGCGGTGCCGACAAGCCCCTGCCTGTGGTGCGCATGCCGGAACAGCGGCAAAGCAGGCGGCGGAGCCCCCTACGGCCGGTGCTGGGGCGACTTGGCCCGTCGCTCATCTCGGCGCGCCTCACGCTGGGCCGTTGGGAGCGCGCGCCACTCGCTTCGCGTGGCTGGAAGAATCGGCGCGCCCGCCAGGACCACTTCTCCATCGAGCGCACGCAACACGAGGTACCAGCGCTGCGGAACCTGTCATCTGAGGACAGCTTCGCCCGTCTGGGTCTGGAGCCCCGCGTGCTGCGCGCACTACAGGAGGCTGCTCTCGAAGTCGTTCGGCCTACAACCGTGCAGTCGAGCATCATCCCCTCGCTACTCCGCGGCCGCCACATCTTTTGCGCTGCGGAAACCGGCAGTGGTAAGACTCTCAGCTACCTACTATCTCTGCTTCAACTGCTTTTGAGCCGGCCACGGGCGTGGACTCACACCGTATCCCTGCTCCCCGAGGCCTGGTCCTTGTGCCTTCGCGAGAATTAGCCGAACAGGTCTGGGCCGTGGCCCAGCCCTTGGGCGGCTCCCTGACCTCCAAGTGCGGGAGCTAGGGGGAGGCCATGGCATGAGTAAGATCAAGCTGCAACTGTCCAAACAACCTCCAGCAGATGTACTGGTGGCCACTCCGGGGGCTCTGTGGAAGGCCCTGAAAAGACAACTGATCAGCCTGGAGCAGCTCTCCTTCTTGGTGTTGCATGAGGCAGACACACTGCTGGATGAAAGCTTCCTGGAACTAGTGGTCTGCATCTTGGAGAAGAGCCATATAGCAGAAGGCCCAGCTGACTTAAAAGACCCCTTCAATCCCAAAGCACAGTTATTGTCGGTGGGCGCCACATTTCCTGAAGATGTAAGCCAGCTACTGAGTAAAGTTGCCAGCCCACACTCTGTAACCACTGTCACCAGCTCCAAGCTCCACTGTAATCATGCCTCATGTCAGGCAGACATTTATGAAGCTGAAGGGAGCAGAGAAGGTGACTGAGTTGGTGCAGATCCTCAAGCAGCATGACAGAGCATATAGGACTGGCCCCTCTGGAACTGTTGTAGTGTTCTGTAAGAGCTCCTGCACTGTGAACTGGCTAGGATATATTATAGATGACCACAAAATCCAACACCTAAGGCTGCAGGGACAAATGCCAGCCTCAATGAGGGCAGGTATCTTCCAGCGCTTCCAGAAGGGCTCCTGAGACATACTTCTCTGCACAGACATAGCTTCTCGGGGCTTGGACAGCACCCATGTGGAGCTAGTTGTCAATTATGATTTCTCACTTACTCTGCAAGACTGCTTCCACAGAGCGGAAAGGGTGGGCCGTGTTTAGAGTGAGGTGCCAGGCACAGTCATTAGCTTTGTGACCCATCCCTGGGGTGTGAGCCTGGTTCAGAAGATTGAGCTGGCAGTTTGCCACAGGAGAGGCCTTCCAGGACTAGGGTCCTCAGTGAGAGAGCCTCTGTCCCAGCAAACCTGAGCTGGTTTAAGTGTGATGCCAGGGCCGGCCCTGTGGCTTAGTGGTTAAGTGCACGAGCTCTGCTGCTGGCAGCCCGGGTTCGGATCCCGGGCGCACACCGACGCACCGCTTCTCCGGCCATGCCGAGGCCGTGTCCCACATACAGCAACTAGAAGAATGTGCAGCTATGACATACAACTTATCTACTGGGGCTTTGGGGGGAAAAAAAATAAGTAATAAATAAAATTATAAATGTGATGCCATAACAGGGATCTTTTCCTGTGTCCCCTGGTGAGTGAGCACCCTTGTCAGTAGGATGTGCTAGGCTGCCCAGTCACCTCCCTAAAGGGCTGGTGAGCTGCTGTCTGGCTTCAGAAGGTAAGCTGCTGGCCAGCATTGGAGGGTGAGCTACTGAGCATGGCTCTCTCTAGTCTTTCACATGACTGGTGAAAAATAGATTTTGGCTTTGTGTTATGTCATGATTTCTGACAATAAATGATGTTTTTATGGGTCTCCCCTAATAATAGTTACCATTGGGGAAGAATTCATTGGATTCTGAGAAGATTCACACTGCAAACTACCACACCTAGGATAAAGGCTCTTTCAGTTGATGGTTTGGTCTGTAACCATTTAAATTTTATTTCCTGCCCTCAAAACATCCATTAAGCCCCCAGGAAAAGAGAAAGGTGATGTGGCTAGCAGTAGAGAGAAATTTTCTTCACCAACAATGCCTATGGCATATTTGGGTGCTCTTGGTGAAATCTCTCTGAGAAGTACTGGCAGAAGACTAAAAGGCAGACTGACACAGAGCTATTGCTTGGTGTGCATTTCCAGGCTCTGCCTTCTTTTCTGTCCTTTTGTGGCAGAGGAAGAGGAGAGAGGATTAAATTGTTTTTACAAAACTGGCAAAATAAGGGTGTAGCATGCTGTCACTGTTTCCTAGGTTCCAGTCTCTGCAGCATTATATAAGCTTTGCTTAAAGTAATGAACAGTTGTGAGTCAAAATATAATACTCCACAAAACAACTTAAAAATACTTGCACACTGGCCCAGCCCCAGTGGCCCAGTGATTAAGTTCAGTGCACTCAGCTTCGGCGGCCTGGGTTCAGTTCCCAGGTGCAGAATTATACCACTCATCTATCAGTGGCCATGCTGTGATGGTGGCTCACATACAAAATAGAGGAAGGTTGGCAACAAATGTTAGCTCAGGGCGAATCTTCCTCAACAAAAAGAGGAAGATTGACAACAGATGTTGGCTCAGGGTTAATCTTCCTCAGCAAAAAAAAAAAACACTGAAAATGATAAGGTTGCAGAGAACAGAAATGGGCCCAGGGCAACCTTTGCCAAAAGAGAATATTGTGCTAAATGTACAATCATAGCTCTCTTTTCCATATGAAGAAACTGAGGCTCAGAGGGATAAAAGAACTTGCTCAAAATCACACCAGTAAATAGGACAGAATCTGGTCTTGTCTGCACCCAGGGTTGTGTTCTTAACCACCAGGGTTTGGTTTCTCAAATGTGATTCATGCACAGAGTAACTATACATCTCTGTTTCCCTTGAATATTGTTTACATCTGTGCCTGGTGTAGTTCTTAATACTGCCCACTTTGGCTCTCAAAGGTGACCCAGTTTAAACAATAATTTGGTTACTATATCCCTGACCACTCTGGTGGAACTGCCCGGGAAGCTTGTTAAAAGTGCGGATTCCTGAGCCCCACTCCAGATCTGGATAAGTTTTCTGAAGGTTGGCCCAAGAATCCATGTACAAGTATTTTTAAGTTGTTTTGTGTACTCCCCAGGTGAGTCTCAAGCCGTCTTAAGTTGATAAACCATTTGTGTCTGCTATTCTGCCTTCCCCAGAGACCTAGCCAGGGGCTGATAAGGTTTCCGTACCGCCACCGGATCAGAGGGATGCTCCCAGACAAGTCATCTCTCTGGAGCCTTGGAGAATCTGAGTGGTTCTTATGCCGGCCCACCTGCCAGGATGAACCTCCTCCAGAGCCCTCCCCAAAAGCAGTCTGCTCTAATTAGGCCTGACTTCATCTGTCCTATCATGCACCACACCGAACAGACAACTTAGGAGTAGAGAGAAGGTGCTGTGGTTCTCAACCAGGGTTGGCCAACCCCTAAAATAGTAGCCCAGGCAACGTCTGTCTCCTGGGCACATCCTCTCTGCAGCAGCAGTAAACAAGTAGTCCCATCTTTGTTTTTTCCAGGTCAGCCACAGGGAGCCCCCTCCTAGGGAAGGTCATCTCTCATGGCTAGGAAGTTCTTAGCCACACTGTATCAAAGCCTGCCCGAAATATGGCTCCTTCCTGTGGGCCTGAGAAGGCTAAGAGCAGAGTTGTCTATTTCTTCCTCCTCGGAGTAGGACCAAATCGTCTTTCAGGAACACCTCCTCACAGAGTGGACTGTGTTTTTCACCCAGCTGCTGCTGAGCCCACACCTCTTCCTTTCATGGTGACAGGATGGTCGTTATTTGCCCTTTTGGGGGAGAGAGGAGTGTAATGATTAGGTTGTCATTTTGTATTATGTCATTTTGTCATGAATTTGTTTTGAATTTCATATTAAAATGGGCCCGTCATTCCTACTTTGTGAAGTCATTCAAGACCCTCATTTGCCTTAGACCACCTTTTTTTTTTTTTTACAGTTTTATTTATTTATTTATTTATTTATTTATTTATTTTTTTTTT